TTCTGTAACCCCTTGGGTATAGTCATTCCTTTCTTCAGCTCTTTGTATTGCTTCTAGAACTCTCTGAAGGGCTGGTTTTGTGGACATGAATTCTTTCAGCCTATTTATGTCATGGAAGATTTTTCTTTCCTCTTTGACTATAATAGACATTTTGGCTGGGTATAGTATTCTGGGTTGGCATCTGTGGTCGTTTAAAACTGGGACTACTTTGGTCCAGGCTCTTTCATAGCTTGCACTGAAAAGTCAGCTGTAATCCTAATGGGTTTTCCTTTATATGTGACTTGTTGTTTCTCTTTTGCAGCTTTCAGTATTGTCTCTTTGTTCTGTACTTTTAGTGTTTTTACTATGATGTGTCGTGGAGAGTTCTTTTCTGGTCCTGTCTGTTTGGTGTTTTATATGCTTCTTGTATTTGTATGGGCATTTCTTTAATTTTGGGAAAATTTCTTCTATGATTCTGGTGAAGATCTGGTCCATGCCATTATCTTGGGATTCTTCTCCTTCCTGAATGCCTATGATTGGTAAGTTTGGTCTTTATATGCTGTCACACAATTCTTGCCTATTCCATTCTTGTGCTTTCTTAAATTTTTCATAATCTTTGCTTGAGTGGTCTAGTTCATCCTCTTTATCTTCCAGTCTTGATATTCTGTTTTCCATTTCATTCATCCTATTGGTGAAGCTTTCTCCTGTCATTTCTAATTGGCTTACTGAGTGTTTCACTTCCTTCTTCATTTCAGTCTGGGTAGTCTTCAATATTTCTAGCTCTTTTCTGAATTCATTCTGAATTTTATCCCTATCTTCCTTCAGTTCTTTGATTTCTTTGTGTTTTCTTTAAATTCACTGAATTATTTTATCATGTTTATAATTGTTCTTTTGAGTTCCATGTCCTGCATTAACTAGGGAGTTCTCATTGTACTCCTCTAGAGGATATTGGTATTTGGTGGGGATATGTTACTTTGGTTTTTCATGTTATTATTTTTTCTCTGTGATTTTGTCATATGATTTCTTTTGTAGTTTCTTATTCTTGTTTGAGACTCAAGCCTTCAAGTTTAGGTCTACTTCTTTTTTGGTCTTTTTGAGACAGGGTCTCCTTGTAGCCCTAGCTGTCCTGGAACTCACTATGTAGACCAGGCTGGCCTTGAATTCACATAGACCCACCTGCCTGTGCCTCCCGAGTGCTGGGATTAATGGCGTGTGCCACCACACCTGGCAGGTCTGCTTCTTTTTGTAAACTTTATGTGCCTTTACTTTTGTGGTTTACTTTTTTGGCATGAAAAGCTTGTTCATCTAAGCTTCCAATTCTCTCTTTTGATTTTATATTGGAGTGGCCAGATTGCTTTTGTCTTCAGGAGTTACCACAGAGGCCTAAATCAGATGAGGATCAGATGCTCTTAGGCTTTCTCCTAAGGTCTGGATCCCTTCAGGAAAGATATTGGCCTCAGGAATTTGGGGGTTGGACTGGCCTGGGAGCAGGGCCCAGGAGAGATGCTGGTCTTGTGCAGCTGGTGGCCATGCCACCCAGAGATGCAAAGGGAAATGGGGCCAGGAAGAGGCCCCAAAGGGCTCCTGGGGACTGCACTGAGGAACTAGGTTGGTCTGGATGCAAAGGATCAGGAAGCAGAAAGGTCAGCCTTGGTGTCCAGGAAGGAGGCTGGTGGGTTGTGCAGCCCAGGGAAACAGAGGGAGGTGAGGGCAGGACCAGGCCCATACGGCTCCTGGGGACCTCGAGAAAGAACTGGGTCCAGATGTAAGGGATCAGGAAGCAGTGGTGGCCCCAGGTGAGGAGAGGTCAGCCCCAACATCCAGGAAAGAGGCTGGCTGGCTGTGCAGGCCAGGGAAGCAGAGCTACCCAGTTTTTTATGTGGGTTCTGGGGACTTGAACTCAGGTCCTCATGCTTGCATAGCAAACACAGTACCAACTGAGCCATCTTCCCCCAGCCCAAAATTAGAGCGTTTTTTAAATTTTTATTTTCTATTTAAAAAATATTTTTCAAGCCTGGTCTACAGAGTGAGTTCCAGGCAGCTGGAGCTACAGGTAGACCCTGTCTCAAAAAGATCAAAAAAATTTTTTTTATGTGCATGAATATATTGCCTGCGTGTGTGTAAAGGGCACCCTTGTTGTTCAGTGTCCATGGTGGTCAGAAGATGGCGTTGGATTCCCTGGAACTGGAGTTATGGACAGTTGTTGGCTGCCATGTGGGTACTGGGAATCAAACCCGAGTCCTCTGCAAGAGCAGCTGGTACTCTTAACCACTGAGCCTTCTCTCCAGCTCCAAGGGTGTTTTCTTGATTGTGTTTTGCTGGTTTCTTTTATCTTCTACTCCCTGAACTATGGAGAGTTAGTTGGAAGAGGAGAAAATGGAAAGAAAAACAGATGAGACCCCAAGCAAGCCTCTGTGGGACCCAGGAACTGTAAAACATGTAGTTACCATGATCATTAGAATATTATCTAATTTGATGCTAATCTAAGCAGCAAAGACTAAGCATGAAATAGAGGCTCAAGTATGAAATTATGACAGTCTCAAGTATATTTCCTGAGTATTTTATTTTTTGCCTGTCTCTTAGCAGTTTTTAGCTAAAACATCTCTCATCTTCAAATGCTTAGTAATATTGTGGCTGCAGTTTAACTATATTGAACTCAAAGTGTTGTTATAGTTTTGGGACAGGGTCTTATTGTAGTCCACACTGGCCTAGAACTTGTTGTATAGGCCAAGCTGTCCTCAAACCCACAACCATACTGCCTTGGCCCCCGAAATGCTGGGATTACAGGCATGCGATACCGTGCCCATCTTATTTTCACTTATATTTTGAGGCAGGGTCCCACTAGTTCTAGGCATTCTAGGTTCCAGTGAACTCCTGATCCTGCTGCCTCAGCCTCCCCAGAGCAGGGACTATAGATGTACATCACCATGCCTGCTGGATTGTTGTTTTTTCATGTTTCTCTTGAAACAAGGTCTTGCTTTGTAGCTCTCTCTTGCAACACTGTTCCTCCTGCCTCTGCCTCCTTGGATAGAGTACTGTAATCCCCACCTCCCTGGATAGAGTACTGTAGTCCCCACCTCCCTGGATAGAGTACTGTAGTTCCTATCCTGTCATAGAATCACTGTGTAGAAGAGGACCTGGATTCTGAAACCTGGGTTCTGTTCCTGCTTTATCACCCCTTGACCAAATGAGCTTGAGCCTATCCTGTGTTCTTGATCCCGTTGTGAAAGAATGTTCTGTCTTATAAAATAGGACCAAGGGGTGTCCCTTCTGTCTTGATTACCAATAGGCACTGTGCTGGATAGCTTTAGTTGTCAACTAGACACATCTGGGTAGAGGGAGTCTCAATTGGGGAACTGCCTCCTTTGGAGTAGTCTGTGGGGGCCCAACCCACAGTGGGTGGTGCCACCCCTGGGCAGGTTGTCCTGTGTTGTATAAGAAAGCAGGCTGAGCACAGGCGAGGGGAACAAGTCAGGAAGCAGTGTTCCTTCATGGCCTGTGCTTCAGCTTCTGCCTCCAGGTTCCTGCCTCCAGGTTCCTGCCCTGAGTTCCTACCTTGAGCTCCCTCAGTGATGAACTGTGACCCTGACCTGATGTTATTTCCAGGCCTGTGTGTGTGGTGGTAGCAAAGAAAGGAGTCGCAGGAGCCTGGATTTCCTTAACCTTTTCTTCCAGGGAAGTACTTCCTCTTGGTTCACAGGGAAGGAGGTGGTTTTTATTTCTGTTTCTACCCTACTGCTTGGTCCTTTGCTCTCCCACCAGATTATGTGGTTTAAGTAAAATCCAGATTAGATAACTGAGATCTAGCATAAATGTTTACCTGAGTTTTGTACTGTTTGACCTCATTTGATTTCTTATTCCTCTTTAGTGAATGAGAAAAGTCAGTGTCTAAAAAAATATGGAAATATGAGTTGGGAGTGGTATGTTGATAAATTCAGTGATATATGTGTGTGCAGGTGTGTGTGTGTGTGTGTGTGTGTGTGTGTGTGCATATGCCTGGTGCTGAGGATTGAATCCAGGGCCTTGTACAAGCAGTCTGTTACTTAGCTCTGTCCCCAGCCCAGATTCATGACTCTTGTGCTCATTTTCAACCTTCTTTTTGTGCCACTGGGTCTAATAAAGAGCCAGATAAAAAAGGCATCAGCAGAAAAAGAGATGGCTCTCAAACTGTCAAGGCTATGAGGAACTGTGGGTTTATTTCCAATTTCAACAGGTAACTGCTAGTGAAAGCAACATCAAGTAACAGGCATATTAACAAGGTGCTCAGGTGTCCAGCATGCCTGGTAAACAGGACCACTCATTTCTTCAAGGAGTATGTGTACATTCAATCCATTAGAAGCTTCCAGAGCAGCACATCTCTGATTATAAAATGTAAATCTACGAGGAAATAAGGATTCTATATACAAAATCTCAGCTTACATACAACTTTACTTTCATAAGGTATTTATGGCAAGAGAGCTATATTTTACCCATTTCTAAAAGGTTAACTACAAATTCAGCATGTCCTAACACTCCTGGGTCAATAAATCTTTAATCACTGAATTAGTGTTTTAAGCTATATTGTGTTTGTTGGAACAGTCGAAAGACTTGGGTTGTCTGCCGTCTTCACAGACTGCTGTAGATGCGCTTAATGGCATTGGCCTCTTCCTTATCAAGGATGCCTTTTTCTACATAAGCATCAGCTTGCTGGTTGATGAAGTCCCTCATCTTTGAAAGGTCATAATCTGGAAAATATTAGTAGGGTATCATGAGCAAAGACCAGGAAAAAACAATTTCATCATAGCAATGAACAGTAGAGACATTTAGTGTAGTAACCAGATTACCTGCTCTATTTTTCACACTAAAAGACACCGGGTTGGGGGCACTACTGTGCTGTTTAAAATGATGTTACAAGTATATGAGTATCATCTGTCCATGAAAATCCTATGAAATATACCATCTCATTTGAGAGAACAGGCTTCTAGACCAGGGCTTTGCAAATTTAATGTTTACCTCCCCATTCCCGCCTCCTCCATCCCTCCCACACCCCCACCTGGCCTCCTCCCCTCTGGCCCTGCAAAGACTTTCTGCAAAGGATTCCGATAGCACAGAAAAATCCCCAGGACTTGACAAAATGGGATTGCATGAAATTAAGAAGCTTCTGGACAGAAAAGGAACAATTACCAGAGTGAAAAGACAGACTACAGAATGGAAGAAATCTGTCAACCATGTATCAGAGAGGAAGTTAATACCTAGAATATATAAAGAACTGCAAACATCTAAAATCTAAAGTATGGCAGCTGGGGAGATTGCTCAGGCGGGAAAGAACTTGCCATGCAAGGTACAGAGGACCTGAGTTGAGATCCCAGCACCCATATAAAAAGGTGAGTGTGGATGGGTGTGGTGGTACATGCCTTTAATCCCAGCACTCAGGAGGCAGAGGCAGGTGGATCTCTGTAAGACTGAGGTCAGCCCAGGCCAGCTGGGCTACAGAGAGACCCTATCTCCAAAAAAACAAAACAAAAAAACAAAGGTAAAGGGCTGGCTAGATGGCTCAGTGGGTAAAGGTACTTTCTACCAAGTTTGATAATTTGAGTTCAATACCCAGGACCCACTTGGTAGAAGGAAAGAAGTGACTCCCATGAGTTTCCTCTGACCTTCACACATGCTATGGCATGTACCAACACCCACACCACCCACTAAATAAAAATTCTAAAAAGAAGGCCAGGAAACATTTGAGGATGACACTTGATATCAAGTTCTGACCTCTAAATATATGATATATGTACACATGTACATATGTGCACATACGCCCACCTATGTACACACATGCACACACACAAATCTAAATCATCCAATCAATAAGTGGGCAAATGAAGTGAACAGACAATTCCTAAAAGAAGAAGCACAGGGGCTGGAGAGATGGCTCAATGGTTAAGAGCACTGACGTTTCTTGCAGAGGACCCAGGTTCAATTCCTGGCACCCACATGGTGGCTATGAACCATCCTTAACTCCAGTTCCAGGGGAATCTGAAGCCTTCGTCTGACCTCCGCGGCAATGCATAACATGGGTGCACTCACATACATGCAGGCAATACACTCATACACGTAAAAAAATAACTTTATAAAATTAAATTATTTATTTTTGTTTTATGCATATGAGTATATTGCCTGCGTATATGTAAGTGCACCTGCATGGTGCAATGCTCACAGAGGTCAGAAGAGGGTGTCACATTCCTGGGAACTGGAGTTACGGATGGTTGTTAGCTGCCATGTGGGTTCTGGGAAATGAATTTGGGTCCTCTGCAAGAGAAGTCAGTGCTCTTATTTGCTGAGCCATCTCTCCAGCCCCTGTACCACATTTTTAAAAAATCCATTCATTTGTTAATGAGCATCTAGACTGGTTTTATTGCTTAGCTACTGTGAATAATGTAGCAATAAATATGGATGGTGTGTATTGCCTGCATGTAGGTAAGTGCACCTGTGTCAATGCCTGCAGAGGTCAGAAGAGGCTGTTGGATCCCTTGGGACTGGAGTTATGGACAGTTGTTAGCTGCCATGTGGGTTCTGGGATTTGAGCCCAGGTCTTCTGCAAGAACAACCAGTGTTCTTAACTGCTGAGCCATCTCTCCAGCCCCCAATAAAATAGCTGCCATGTAGGTTCTGGGAAATGAAAAATGTGATACATATACATATATAAATCCCATTTAAAAACAATGAGATTTTATTCACCTATGAAGAAAATGAGGCAGACTCCCTGAGAGTGCTTGACTCCAGCCTCTGCATGGTGCTAAGAGATGGAAGCAACCTAAGTGGATAATGAAAATTCGGTACATTTACACAATGGAGTTCTACTCAGTGAAAGATGAAATCATGAAATTTGCAGGTAAATGGATGGAACTAGAAACTGTTATACTAAGTGAAGTAACAGACTCTCAAAACAAATGATATTCTCCCTCATTTGTGGATCCTAGCACCAAATCTTATATGTATAAGACCCTATTGCTGAAGACAGGACATACTTTGGATGCAGGATTTGGGACAATGGAACTGGAACTGACCCGGAAGTCACTTCCCCTGAAGGCTAGCTCTTATAGCTTTGGAGAACACTATGCAAGCTGCTAAGGGAGAACATCAATTGATGGTCCAACCCCAGCTTCAAGGCCTAAAAACCACACCAATGACTGGCACAGCAAATGACATTGGTGTAGTAGTGGCACTTTTATCTTGGGGGGTAATCAACAGTTACCTAATTGGACTTAAAGCCCACTCAATGGGGGAAAACTCACGTGTGGTACTGTAAACATAGCCAAATATACATGGCTGGAGAGGTCATAGATCTTAGAGAAAACCCCAATGCTGTCACCTCTCTAGACAAATGTAATTTCTTATTATGTGTAAAATATGGATCCTTATATTTACAGACAAATATCCCACTCACCACTCATCAAAGAAGCTTCTTTTGCAACAGATGGAGACTATTACAGAGTTCCACAACTGGTCATACACAGACATTGTGAATTGCCCAAGCCTAAGTGGCACACCTACAGTGCAACCTCTGTACCTAAAGCTCACAGAGCATAGAACAAGGGGTAAAGAGTACACTAATGCATCTCTCAGTTTTCATCAATGAAGCTCCATCATGCAACAGAGGACCAGGAACACAAGGGTCACAAATAGCTAAAATGTAGAGAATAAGAGTCTATAGAGTGTGGGTGCTTAGACAGGACTCGTATATTAAACTCCACCCACCCAGGGCTCAGGGATCATTGTGGAAGAAGAGGCAGAAAAATTGTAAGAGCCAGGGAGGGGGTGCATGACCATATGGAAATAGAGTCCTACAAGCTCCTGGGACCTTGTTCATATAACCCATACCAATGGTATCAGCATGCACAAGACCTATGCAAACTCTAGCAGATAAAAGCCCAGTACACAACTGTGGATATGAACAGCAGGCTGGTGAGGAAGAGCTGGTCTTCTTAAAGGGAGGGACTCTAGATAGGCTGACTAAACCCCAGTGGATGAACTTGTGCTGAGGGACATCTGGGGATGCTAACTTGACAGACAGGCCTTGACATAAATGACAGAATGTATGAATTCTCGTGGTGGGGGGCTATGAGAGGGTGCCAGTGGGGAAGGGGGTATAAAGATGATTAAGACTGATTAAGATGTTCTATATGAAGTATACAAAAATTGAATAAAAAATTTACAAAGAAAATGCATGGAGGGAGAAATGAAGGATTATAGTGTAGATCATGCTACAGATGAGCAGATTACTCAGCACCAGGCACACAAGGGAGACTGATTAGTGAAAAATAGATAAAGGGCCTTCAGGAAAACAGCAGGAAGCTGCGCACTGGTTTGCCACATACCACAGAATCTAAGCCCAGAGGCGTAGGGAAATGATTAATTTTCACTTGGAATGTTGATTTTAAAATTAATGTTGTTTCTTTCTACATTGCACATTTTATTTATCTTTTATATAATTAAAATATTTTAAAAGTAGGAGACATTGGTGGGGCATCTAATGCAGAGTGCTTACCCTGGAAAAAGTCACAGGCAGGGGGCAATTTTCTCAATGATATGGACAATCATTGAAAAATATAAATAGGGCTGGAGAGATGGCTCAATGGTTAAGAGCACTGACTGCTCTTGCAGAGGGCCCGGGTTCAATACCCAGCATCCACATGGCGGCTAACAACTGTCTGTAACTGCAGTTCCAGGGGATCTGACACCCTCTTCTGATCTCTGCAGGCATTGCACGACAAGGGTGCACTTATGTAGGCAATACACGCATACCCATAAAATAAAAATAATAAATAAAAAGAAAAAAGAAAAATATAAATGAAAGAATTGACCCTTCTTATGACTTTGCTAAAAAAATAAAATATGAGAAATTTTAAAAGAAAAATGAAATCTTAATATATTTTTATCATTTTTATTTTATGAGTGTACTGCCTGCATGTATGTGAGTGCACCCATGTCATGAAATGCTGTGGAGGTCAGAAGAGGGCATCGGATTCCCCTGGAACTGGAGTTAAGGATGGTTTGTAGCTGCCATGTGGGTGCTGGGAATCGAACCCAGGTCCTCTGCAAGAGCAGTCAGTGCTCTTAACTGCTGAGCCATCTCTCCAGCCAAGAAAAGTGAAATCTTGAGAACTGCAGGAAGATGAGTGGTTCTGGCAATCATTATGCTAAGTGAAATAGCCAGACCCAGTAAGACAAGTACCATGTTTTCTCTCAGATGCAGAAATTTCTTTCTAAATTTGTGTGTTTGTTTTGAGATAAGGGCTCACTATGTAGCTTTAGCTGGCCTAGAATTCCCTTTGTAGACCAGGTTGGCATTGAACTCACAGAGATCCCCCTGCCTCTGCCTCCCAAGTGCTGGGACTAAAGGCATCCAGCACCACACCCAGCCACTCTTGTGAATATGCATCCATCCATCCATGAGTGTGGAGATGTAGGTCATGAAACTAGAAAGTGGACTGTTAAAGGGAAGAAGAAATCTTACGGGGGAAGAGGGTATTGGAATACACGTGACACGAGAGCAGGAAGGGAGCTCTGTGGGAAAGGAGGGGGACCAGTAGGAAGGTATCAAGGGAGGGGATGTGGATAGGGACCAATAAGAGCAAAGTATGGGGGCTAGAGAGATGGCTCAGGAATTAAGAGCAGTGTCTGCTCTTGCAGAAGACCTGGGTTCAGTTCCCAGCATCCACATGGCTGCTAACAGCTGTCCTTGGCTCCAGTTCCAGGGAATCTGATGCCTTCTTTTGGATTCTGAGGTCATTGTATGACACAGGTGCACTTGCATGTATGCAGGCAAGACACTCATACACATTAAAAAAACAAAAACAAAAACAAAAACAAAGTATGTATAGAAATGCCACAACAAAACTTTACTTGGGCTGGGCATGGTGGTACAGGCCTTTAACCCCAGCAATGGAGAGGCAGGGGTAGCAGATCTCTATGAGCTCCAGGCCAGCCTGATCTACGTAACAGAGTTCCAGGACAGCCAGGGCTATACAGTGAGACCCTGACCAAAAAAACAAACAACAAACTGGGGGGGGGGGTGTTTCTCTCCCTCTCTGTAGCTGAGATGCATCTGGAGTCTTTGAGTCTGAGAGGAGATTTTAGCTAGTTTGACAGTGAGAATTGTTACACAAGAGCCCTGGGCAAATGGATGAAGTTTGTCATATACAACCACAATATTCCCCTACCCTCTTTATTTCCTTTTTTGTCATGTTTCTTCAACCATTCAATGTTTTTTCTGATGGCTTCCAAATATGCTTCTGTTTTCCCTGGAAAAGGCAAGAGAGTCAAATCAAACACTCATAAAATATCATTGAACCTCCTAATCAAACCCACACCAATATTCAAAATCATAATGAACTTGCAGAGCACTTGGGCAGTGGGTTCCTGTCTAGGTAGTGTGCATGTTTATATGTATACATACATATGCATGTGTAGGGAGTTTTCAAGAACATTTGGGGTTGAAATCTCAGAGGCCAAATTGCTATGTGTCAAGAACCACTATGCCCCCAACAAATTCAGTTTGATGTCTGTTTAGACTTTGGATTCAGTTTACCATGTAGCTGGGTCCCCATGATTCTTAGATCGGGTAATTTCCAGTTAGGGTTGCTTCTTCTAACAGGAGCAGTCTCCAGTCAAGGAATGAACCAGAGGGCAGATTCTTAACATCTCTATTTCCTCCATTGAAAATTCAAATCTGTGGGGCTTTATTCTAAGTACGCTACACATCTTCTGCCCAGTTTTGAGAGGTAATAAGTCAACACTCAGAGGAAGAGGTGATCGGGCCTTCGGTTCAGGTCTGAATGAGTTTCTGAACTGGCTCTAATAAAACTGTCTTGGATGTACATCTCCTGACTGAGCTTCCCAGCATAACTGAGCACATGATCTGTGATGCCCTTGGTTTTCTGGAAGTTGATGTGGCTACCTTAGGGCTGAGGAATCTGAAGCTCAAAGAGACTAAGGGTCTTGGCTAAGGGCAGGAAATAACAGAGCTAGAATCTGAACTGTGATCTGCTTAGTTTCTTATACCTGCACCATTTGAAAGACTAGCCTCATCTTTAGCCATGGATGCTAATGTAGCCTTGTTCTACACTGAAGAAATCTATTATCTTCTTAACCAGATGAATTCTTGATGTTCAAAGTGTATGCATTAAGACACTAGAAGTTCTTTTTCTCTCATCTAACAATAAATAGTGGCCTTCAAAGTCCAGGGTCTCTGTAGAAGAACTGGCTTCCTGAGAGTGGCATGGCAATCACATCAGTCTGAGGCTGCTTTGAGCCCTGATATGTCTAGTGACTGCCCAGAGCTGAGCCAGCTGAGCCATGTGCTTACCATGTGCTACAGCCTGTGCTTTCTGCTCCAAAATGCATTCTTTTCTTCTCCTCAAAAACTTTTTGAGCCAGCCCTATTATCATCCTTGACTTTTCAGATGAAGATACTGAGGCACAGAGTGAGTAAAGCAATACAATGTAGATAAGACACATGGCTAGTAAATGGAAGAGCTGGAATTGAATTTGGGAAAATCTGACTATAGTTCATGCAATATGGCTGTCATATGATCCATCAGTTTTCTAGTTTGCACTACTGCATTTACTAAAGCATTTCCTGAACATCTTCCTGGCCCGAAGCCCATGCAAACCTCACCACTATGACCTCATGTTATCAGCTTCCCAAAGAGGTGCTGGGAAAACTCTATGGAAAAAGATATAAATGGACAACAAAAGAGATTTGTCACATTTTTCAGCCCCTATGCACTGTGCAAAAGCAGCTTTGGTTTCAGTGGCTTGTTTTCAAGAATGTCAGCTAGGGGCTGGAGAGATGGCTCAGCAGTTAAGAGCACTGACTGCTCTTGCAGAGGACCTGGGATTGATTCCCAGCACCCACATAGCAGCTAACCACTGTCCGTAACTCCAGTCCTAGGGGAATCCAAAGCCCTCTTCTGACCTCCTCAGCTATGCATGACATGGGTCACTCACATACATGCAGGCAATACACTCATACACATAAAATAAAAATAATAAATAAAACTTAAAAGAATGTCAGCTAATGGGGCTTGCAAGATGGCTTGGTAAGTATAAGTACTTGCTGAAAAAAACCTGATGACCTGAGTTCAATCCCCAGAACACATGTGAAGATGTGAAGAGAGAACCAACTCCTGAAAAATGTTCTCTGACCTACACACACACACACACACACACACCAATAATGCATTAAAAATTTTTTTTAAACAAAGAATGTCAGCATTCTGTTACCGTTGCTATGAGTTTGCATGAATAACTGCCCAGCTGTCTGGAAAACTGTTTTCCACTGTGGTCAGTTATGACTTCTGGCTCTTACGATCTTTCTGTCCCCTCTTCTGCAATGGCCCCTGAGCCTTGCGTGGCAGAAGTTTGCTATAGGTGTCCTATTCAGGGATAAGCACTCTGCAGTCTCTTATTTTGGTGGCAGCATTCATGTGACACATGCGAGCTCAAACAAGATAAAATCTCAGCATAGAAGCGGGGAGGTGGGTAAGAAGCCCCAACCTTAGCTGAGGAACATATTGGTAAATGATAGCAGCTGGGAGAGGGAAAGTCGGCTTTCTTTAAGGGTGTGACACTGGATACGTTAACCAGGCTCCAGTAAATGAACCCATATCAAAGGGTATTTGGGGACACAAATTTGACTCAATAGGCCTTTATATATCTATCTATCTATCTATCTATCTATCTATCTATCTATCTATCATCTATCTATCTATCATCTATCTATCTATCTATCTAATCTATCTATCTATCATCTATCTATCTATCTATCTATCTATCATCTATCTATCTATCTATCTATCTATCTATCTATCTATCATCTATGAAACAGAGTACATTGAATCGAGCAGGCAGGGAGGGGTGCAGATAGGGGAGGGTGGATGTCTAAATATGATCAAAATACATGAAATTCATAAAAATTCCATTAAAAATGGGGAAAAAGAATGTCAGCATGTACAGAACAGTGTTCCCTGGATGGTGTTGAACTATTCAGTGCAATCTACAATTGCCATCATCAGTTACCCACTAGGTAACACAGGTGATGAACTAGATTTGGTAAATTTGTTTGAGACAGGGTCCTTCTATATTACCTGGCTTGGAACTGTCTAAGTAGACTAGGCTGGTCTTGACTTGTGGCTATACTCCTGCCTCTGCCTTCTGTGTATTGAGATTACAGCATGAGCCACATGCCTGGCTATAGATTTGGTAATATAAACAGTGATTTCTATTTTAAACTAATTTATTTAGATGAGGCATTTAGTGTAGTATAGACTATTTCTAAAGAATTCAGTTTCATTTGGTAAAGAGTTTAAATCAAATTAATGACTCTGATATTACTTGCTTTAATAAATAGATAATGACTAGATGCATGCCTTTAATTCCAGCAATCAGGAGGCAGAGGCAGGCAGATCTCTGTGACATCAAGGACAGCCTGATCTACATAATGAGTTCCAGGCCAGCTGGGAGTACAGGGTGACCCCACCTCAAACAAAGCAAAAAAAATAAAAAAACAAACAAAAACCCAAATAAATAGAAAGTGATTTATCATTTGCATATTAGGTAATTATAGCTTCTGAAACTTTTTAGTGTATCTGAAAATGTTCTTTAAATAATTTAAATCATTCTTTCCAAAAATCTAATCTTTGATATCATATTATAATGTGGAGAGTTTATCTGAGAAAAAGAAAACTAATGTTTAGTCACTATTTAACTACTACATTAAAATTTCTGAATCAGCCAGGTATGGTGGCACACACCTTTGATCCCAGCATTCAGGAGGCAGAGGCAGGCAAATCTCTGTGAGTTCAAAGCCAGCTGGTCTACATAGTAAGTTCCAGGCCAGCTGGGCCTACATAGTGAGACCCTGTCCAAAAAATAAATAAATTCTGAATTAGGAAAGTTTTAAAAAATTGGCTGGGGTGGGGGGGGTCCTGAAAATGTAGCTCAGTTGATAGAGTACTTGCCTAGCATGTATAGAGTCCTGGGTTCTATCCCCAGCATCACATAAATCAGGTATGGTAGCCCACTCATAAAATCCTAGCATTTGGCATGTGGAGGCAGGAAGATCAGAGTTTCAAAGTCATCCTCAGCTACCTAGTAAGGTCAAAGCCTCCTGGGAGAGAAAAGACCCTCTCACAAAGTAAAAAAAAAAAAAAATAGGTCATGTGTGGCAGCAGTGGTGGTGGTGGCGGTGTCGGAGTGGAGAAGATGATGGTCTCCACAGGAGTTAAAGTTCCCCGTAGTTTTCACTTGTTGGAAGAACTTGAAGGACAAAAAGGAGTAGGCGATGGTATGGTTAGCTGGGGCCTTGAAGATGATGATATGACACTTACAAGGTGGATGGGCATGATTATTGAACCACCAAGGACAAACTATATAGAATATATAGAATATATTCTACATATTCAGAATATATAGCCTGAAAGTAGAATGTGGACCTAAATACCCAGAAGCTTCTCCATCAGTTAGATTTGGAAGGCAGCTATGCTCACCACTATACCACCAACACCATCAGTTAGATTTGTAACAAAAATTAATATGAATGGAATAAATAATTACAGTGGAATGGTCGATGCACTGAGCATACCAGTGTTAGTAAAATGGCAAAATTCCTATAGCATTAAAGTTGTGCTTCAAGAGCTAAGATGCCTAATGATGTCCAAAGAAAACATGAAGCTTCCACAGCCACCAGAAGGACGGACATACAGCAATTAATTTTAGCGGATCTCAAACTTGTCTTGAATCAACACCTCCTACTCATGTTAATGTCTTGATTAAATATCACAATGCAAAATACCCACACATTAAGTAAAAGAATTCCAGCTGGTAAACATGACCCAGACATTTGTAGGAATATATTAATATATGTATACCGATTATGTGTTCAGGAACAGGAGGAAATGTGCAGCACAGTTTTTCTTTCTAGTTAAGGCATTATCATTAAACGTGAACCTGGAGTACTCAAAATTGAACTTGGGTTATAGGCCAAAGGCATGGCAAGAGGGAAGCTGTCAGAGGGCAGCAGAAATGTTCATGTTTCTGGAAACTAAAATCTCAAGAAGGAAGAACAGATATGGCTTGCTCTGTCCATCGTAGAGAGCTGCAGTTGAAACTGCTTAAAGCAGCAGGTGCAGTGAAGAGCTGTGGGTGCTGACTACTGTAGATCAAAAATAGGTTCAGGATTGTTTTGCTACCTGTATTTATAATAAAAAGATGCTTGGGGGATTGATGAGTTTCTGTTAAA